ACAGATGCCGGGAGTTGCCGACCCATGTCCTAGAAGCTCCTGCGAAGTAGCTGCATGAGTTGCCATTTGTTTGAGAACCTGGCAGATTGACTTCAGTTTGAGAGGCAGCCCCTAAAGTAGGATGCTGTCCCCTTCCTTTTTGCTTTTTGTACAATAGCTCCCTAAAGTGGCCTGGCAGATCAGCTGTGTGTGCAGATCATCAAGTAGAGGCTGCTTTTGTGATCAGACTGGTGGGTTAGTGTTGATGCTTGGGTTACAATATTCCCTGGTAGCTTGGGTCTTTGCTGTGTGAGGGGATATGCATGCACACTTGCAGGAAGACATACATGGTCCCTGACACACAATAAGCTTGTGAGCCCATGGGCTGGTTCTTTTAGTGTTGATTTTTTTCCTACAGTGCCCCCACCCTCCACCACCCCAACCAACCAAAGTGTCTGTGTTCCAGAGGGAGGACTTAGGCCCTCACTGGTTAGGACAGCGAAGCCCTAATTGGTACTGTTCATGGGAGCACCTGGCAATGTACATCGTGCCGTAAGACAAATGAACTTCCACAAAGAGCTAAATTGTCCCTAGCACAGGAAACTCACCATGACTCTTTGTTAACTTCCAGAGGGTTTTTATGACTAAGCCTGCCCACTGTAATTCAGTGCCCTTTCTTCCAAACACTAAGGTCTCTTGCACAACTGAATCTCCTGGCTTTTCTTCTGTGCTCCAGTTACACTAGCAGCTTTTATTATTATCCCTTGTTAAAATAACTAGAAACTATTAAGTAACTTGTTTCCTACCCAGGATTGTTTTTTCTATTGAATGTGTTGGTGCCTGACCTACTTTGGGACACAAAAATGCCTGGAATACTTGGTCAAATATATTTTTATTTATAAAAACTGAGAGCTGCAAACTACAGGCAGCCAAACACAATGGGAAGTGGCTTAATGTAATTTACTGGCTGTCTGGAACATTGCCTGTTAACATTTCCTTCCCTGTGGGCCTATTCTGTCGCTCCTTCCCTTCTTTGGTCAGTCATTCTCCATGAAACACCCTTTTTTATGGCTTTGATGCAAGGTGCTAAGTAGACTGAGTTCTAGCCCGCAGTGCTGGGGGGGAACAATCTGGGGGGAGCTTAATGTGAGCATGTATTAATGTAAATAGTTGCTGTAAATAGTTTCACAAGTAGGATTTCTAGATGCCCTCTCCAGCCCAGGGGAAGATGACAGTCTGGGCCTGGCATTAGGCTGGAGAGACTGCTCCCTTGATTAACTCTATGACATTTAATTTGATTGGGTGAATGTTAGTCCTGGGGTTAATTCTATAGTTTTGTAACAGTTTTGTTGTGAGTGTGACTTCCTGTGCCTAAAGAGAAAGCTTGGGAGAGAAAAGAGTAGTCCCAAAGTAGATGGAGTAGAGAAAGTAGTAGTCCCAGGGAGGACAGAGTGCAGTTTGAGGAAGTGCAAAGAGAACTGCTGTGGCACAATAAAGACTGTTTGGAGCTCAGCAGTCTGCTGTACTGTTGGGGACATTAGCACTCTAATCCCACCCTCCCCTTCATGAAGAAAACACTAGCCCCCTACACACTTCCTAGGAGCTGATCAAAGAAGCTCTCCAAGGTGGCAGTGCTATTAATGAGAAAGGAAGCCAAGGACAGAGAAGAGACAGAGTCTCAAAGCCAGAGGCTTGCCCCTTATGAAGCCATGTCAGGGTTTCACAGACAAGTCCTTGGGAGGAGGGAGACCAAAATAAGGCTGCTTTTTGGGGAGTCCTGAGGTAGAACTTCTCCTTGAAAAGGGCATTGATCCATGACAGTAGCCACCTCACTTTAACCTGCCACTTTCCCTTTGGGCATCTCTAAAGTCTTCCTTGTTGTTGTGTAGGTCAGTGTTTCCCAACCAGGATGCCATGGCAGAAAAGTGAACAGGTCAGAAATGAATGGGTATGCTGTGGAATTTTGTCATGGCAATGAGCTACAATAGGTATGAGGATGGGAAATGCCTTAACAGGTGTGCTGCAGAAATTTTTTATTAATGTAAGCATGCCTTGGACTAGAAAAGTTTAGGAAACACTGGTGTAGGTGACTATCCTGCAGCAGTGAAGGATGGTCTTATAATTAAGATTTGGCCTCAAGAGATCACGGTTCAGCTCTTGCCTTATCTCTGAGCTTGAGCCAAGTCACTTAATCTCTCCGTGCCTCTGAACTCTGTCTGTACAGTGTGGGCAACAGGACTCCTATCCTTTGTCCATGGCAGTGGTAGGGTACTTAGGGCAAGGATAGCACTTCCTTAGATGTACACACAACACTTAGGAGAATGATGTCCTGGTCTTGTCTTCTAGGGACTATGATGATGCTACTGGTAAGAATTACTGTTCCAAAAACAGAGAGGTGATTACCCATGTTATCCTGAAGTCAGGAAGAAGGTAGAACAGGGTGGCACCGTAGAGACTAACTGGTTCGGGCAGACATATGCTGTCGTAAGCAGCAACCTGCTTTATGAAATGCAGCTTAAGCCTCTCTGAACCAATTAGTTTTTAAAGGTGTCTTTACACGTGCTCTGGGGTGGGGGGGGGACCTTAATTAGAACAGATCCTGAGAGCCACTCTAATTAAATCGCTTGCAGTGTGTTCAGCATCCCTGCTCTTCAAAATGGTAGCAGGGGCTCTTTAACTAGAGCTTGTTTGATGAGCTGAATACGCAAGACACTGAGGCTGTTGGAGCATGCTAATTAGCACACTCCAACAGACTTGATTAATCAAAGGTCCCACCCTGCCCTACCTTCTGCCTGTATCAAAAAGTGCAACAGTGGCCACCACTTTTAGGTGCTCAGAACTTACTCTTTTCCAAGAGTTTCTGTGTATAGCACACTCTTTACTGCATAAGTGAGTGGGATGTTTTCCATGGAAAGGTAGTAGCTGGGATTTTCCCCCATAGTGGCTTAAAAATAAAACCAGTACAAACATTTGTTTACCCAGTGAGTAATCAGCTTGTGCCTTCCCACCACTTGAAATTTGCTAAACTCATCTGTTTCTACTTTCATCTCTGTCTAATACCCAGCACCTCTAAATACAGCTGCCTGCTGTAAATAGTCCCAGCAGTCTCTTCTTTTTAGACCCTGGGAGCCAAAGCTGTGAGCAGAATGCCTGTCTCTCCTCCTTTTATCTGTGTACACGACAGCACTCCCACGCCACCTGTTTGTCACCACTGCTGTGTTCAGACCCTGTCTTCTTGCTGGAGAGCTCTCCCACTAATCTCCTTACCCAGTGTCATGCCTGTATGTTTGCCCCAGGAATCAGGCCTGCCCTATATTGAGAAGATGTTTCAGGTAAATGACCTTGTGCACACCAGGGCATGACTTTGGGCTGGATTTTCAGGGACTTGGTTCCCAAAATTGGGCAACTTCAGCTCTTATTGAGGTATCATAGCTAGGGCCAAGTCTTCAAAGCCAGATGCGCTTAGTTATTTTCAAAATCTGCCCACTCCTTTAGGTGCCTAAATTGAGCTATCATGGTGTTTGAATCATAGGTCCCTGTTCAGACAAGTACAAAGAATTAATAATAATAAAAACCCCATGCTCAGCTGGTGAGCTAGGAGAGGTATTTGTTACAATGGATGGTGTGTACATAGAATTGAGTCAGGCATGAGACCCAGAGCCCCATAATAGATCCGTGTTGGGATGTCCTGTAGTGGGTAGATCAAAATGACTAGTAGCTTGGAAGAGACCTTGGTTTTACTGCCATTGACCTTTGCAAAGCAAACCATTAACTGCTCTGCACCATCAGTTTTCTCATCCTAAAATGGGAATCGGGCTTCCCTTCCTTTGTGAGTGCTCTTTGTTTATTCATTTGAAAAAGAATGTTGTTTATTCCATCAACTGGCTTATGTTGGGAAAGTAGCTGACAGGTACTAGAGGTAAAATATCTTCATACCTGAGTTCCAGGTTGTTAAATTATGCTATGTTGATGGCCAAAACCTTGCAGAGAACTTTGCTTTCATGCTGTTGTCTTTCTTGTTCGTTACAGCTAGAACTAGAATGCATTAATCCCAAGAAGCAAAAGAAGAAAAAGAACTATAAGAACTCTGGTAGTATTATTGTGAAATCCTGCAAAGTGAGTTTAAATGTTTTTATCCCTCTTTTAAAGTAATTTTTTTTGGAGGGGCAGGGGTTTAGATTATTGGATAACTTCCAGGCCAAAATCCCAATAGGGAAGTAAAAGCTGTCACATAGATCTTTGAATACAAATTAAATAGTGAAGAGAAACTTATGTCCCTAGCAAGACATAAATGGGATAAGTGCATTGTGTCTGACTTACTCATGTAATGCTGCATATTTGGAGCACCACTGATTCTACAGAATTAGGGGGCATGGAGGCCATGGGTTAAGGGACACACACACTTACGGCTGTACTTGCTGTCGTGTATTCTCCCAATAGTCTCCTGTACCTGGTGGCAAGTGAGAACAGTCCTTGCCCACTGCTTTATGGTAGTAACCTTCCTGAGATTGAGCCAGAGGTCTCCGTTCTTTTTAACAGCTGTCTAAAACTGTTGGACTTGTCACAGATACAGATGATTAACAGGCTGTTAGGAAGGGGATGTGGAGGCTGGCAGTTAGCTCTTTGACTGCAATTACTGGGGCAGCTGTGAATTATTTTAGAATGTGTCCAGTAGACACTGGAAGGCTACAGATAACACACAATACTTGCATCTTATTAAGAGTTGAGTGGAGAAAGCCAGCACTCTGCCACGATGAATACAACAAGATCTTCCACTTCTCAGGTTGGTACGTCTGGGACTTGTCAGACTCAGTTTTCACTTAGTACCTAACGTTCATTGCCAGGTCAGAGGAGCCAGGGACTTGTTAAGGTCCAGTATATCTCACAACTTGGCTAGCAAGTGTACATCCACTAATGCCCTAGCCTTAGTGGCTCATGAGGAATGAGTTCAAGCAGTCACATGCTCCTAATTGCTGTTTGCCTTCTTCATGTTTCTGCCTTGAACACATCTGAGTTCCTGCATGACTCCACGATCTGCTGCCTCACAGTGCTAGAAGTAGATGGAATCCTTCTTCACCATCTGCCAGGCTGGGATTCCAGCTTTCAAACCTGTAGAAAATAGAAATCTTTTACTTCTGCTGTTTGAGAGATACTGACTATTAAAATGGTGTTCTAGGCAACCATCGATCCTCTGGATCATGGTGTACATATGAGAGGACTAGTCAGATGCCTGATAAATCCTCTTGTGTGGAGTCCTGTGACCATCACACCAAGACCTTTGATGTGTACACCAAAGCAAGAATCTGGAGGAGTGGAAGCTGCCCAAGACCCATCACCCCCCTTTTAGACCATTGAGACAGAATGCAAAGGCCAGATTAAGTCCAGACATTCAGTGCCTTGATGGTTGTAGCTTCTGCCAGAGAGCAACAGATAAGAACTGCTGCTGACTGCCCAACGCCTCAGCGAGCATTTGTTTCTGTCAGGATGATGTCCCTTAGCCTTTCTCCAACAAAGGAGTTACCCACAAGGCAGTGGGGTTTAGGGTTTTGAGGTGCCCTATACTTGCTTTACTCTGGAGGTTGCAACATTGTGGTATTTTATAGGAATTATCCTGCCATACCATACCATACCATACCACACCACATTGCCACCAGACCCTCCAGTCAGATGCAGTTTACAGTCATACCCAGGACTAAAATGGTGTTATACTGGAGAAGAAAATGGGACAGTCCTCAAGATGACTTCCATTCCCTCATAAACCACTGGAACTAGAGACCAAGCTAAATGCTTTCAGGCCCATTAGATGCTTTCAAGCAATGGTCTTGGACAACATGTTAAAACAAGCTGCTGGAGTAAGTCCAGTTCCTAATGGATACAGAGCCACATTGCCGTGAAAAAAATCACAATTTGGACATTTTGCAATTTTAGCAAGAAGCCAGTGTCCAAAAGGGCCATGCAAATTGACTTCCTCTTTTGTTCCTTTAGATAAGGATTGTGGCATGTTGTTGACGCAATGGGAATGGAAAGCTTGCTCTGCTGCTTTTTTTGCTTTCTTGGCTCTCTTGACCCTTCTTTCTGACAAGGGCACTTTCTGATGTAGGCACTTAGTGGGCACGTAAAGGAGTGCCCTCCATGTCTGACCTGTGAAGGACATAGGTCTGATACAGTACCAGCCAGAGAGCTCTTTGATTTCATGGTGTGCTGAGCTTTCCAGTTTGATCCTTGGTGTATCAGCCAAGATGGTGGCTGTCAACTGATGCCTGAACTCCCTTCAGCAATGCAGCATGTGTTTAATTAAAAATGCTTCAAGGTTGCTGAGGGGAAATCCAGGCACTTCTCCACATTCGCCACTTTGCTCTGTGACCCAAAGAGGTTTTGAAACCAGAAGGCATATTGTCTGCTGCTGGAAGCATTTGTAACTTTTTTTTTTTTTATGAACCTCCCAGGATTTCTGGGAGGGATGAAGGGAGATGAATGTTTCTTTAAAAGTCTCTGTTTTTTTTTCTCCCTTCAGATAACCAGAAATTACTCTTTCCTGGACTACATCCTTGGGGGCTGCCAGTTAATGTTTACTGTAAGGAATCTCACTGCTCTTTGTCCATTAACTGTAATGAATGTAAAATTTCAAGTATGTCAGAGCTCTAGATGAGAGTGCATGTGCTAATTAAAGCATTAGGTAAAATCTTAAATATCATTGCAAGCTGCTTTGTCTTACACTAAACTGGTGAGTGTATCTGGGAAGCTGTGAATTTCCCTTAAGCATAAAAGCAAATGGACAGGCAAGAAAACTGCATTTTTATGACTCCACATCCTGCTGCTTTTTTTGTGTCTTCCTGTCAGCAGCCTTTTCTTTCCACTTTTCATGATCTCTTCTGACACAATGTGGGCTTCAGGGTGACTCCAGGCATTTGTTGGCAGGTTGTCTTTCATAGTTCCAGTTGCATTCTCTGCAGCCTTCTTTTATGTGAACAACCAGCAGGTACTACTGGCATTGCAACACTATATTGTGCTTACAACATAATATGTGGAGAGCTACCAGAGATGAGACATTAAATCAAAGATATATTTGCTCTGGCAAAAAGAAGAAAACCAGAGCCCTCTAGTCACTGGCAGATCATTAAATTAAGGGGTGCATTTTGGCTTTTCATGCTAATTTCCATAAGAGTCTTCATTACCAATAAACGTAGTGATTTTCCATTTTATTTCCTCTTCCACACTCAGACCTTAGCACAACAGTAGAACTGCATATAAAAAGCTCTTGCACTTGTTCCGGTTTCTATGGTAACTCTTACTTCTCCTCCCCCCACCTCATTTTTTTTCTCTTCTGTCTTTAGATAGACAGCAAATAAAAATTGAAATGCTGCAAGTGCACACAGTTCTCTGGTTTCTGTACTAAAAAGAGTTTTCACAAATTAAAGGGCTGGGGGGATGTATTTTGTTAAACAGTTAAACATGAGGGCTGTCATTTCTTCTCTAATCACTTCAACAACACACCCACACTCTTGATCAATTGAGAAGCTAGAATTGCAAGTGGAAATACTGAAGCAAAAACACATATCAGCAATATTACAAATAAGTGAATTTGGCTGAAAAAGAGACCAGCTGTTCATGCCAAATTACCACAGCTATGACCAACAACTGTTGAACCTTGGGAGACCATTAACAAGTTCAGCTGGCATTGGGTAAAGCACCAAAGAACTTGGAAACCTTTCTGGATGTGCTGGGTGCACAGGTGTGGGCTGCAGCTCTCAACAAGAACAGCACACTGACTTTGCTTCCTGGCTTAGTCAGAAAATACTATAGTTGACAAGTTTTTGACCACACTCCCACTTCACAAAAATGGAAGGCTAAACAATGACCATCCCCAAAAAGAGTGAAGGGAGACCTTAGAAGAACGTCTTCAAATGTCATAGAAGACTTGCTTGCTTTGAGTGAAATTTGATAATCATTTGATAGTCTTCTATCATGTTCTACCTGAAACACACACTAAAGAAGAGTGGAAAAGAATGTCTGAGAATGGACAGAGATTTCATTCCTTGTGCATCCAAAGCTGTTACAACCTTAAATGCAAAGCATTGCTAGGGGATCAAAGAAGATTTGTCATGTGCTAGAGAATTAGCAGCCAAAAGGAAGTGAATCCAATATGGTTTAGCTCAGCCAAATATGCAGGTCTAAAAGTTTCTGAGTGGGGGAAAGGCTCACAGCTGAAGAATGAACAGGAAAAAGCTACTCCTGGACTAATACTGACTATAGTGAAAAAAACTACTGAGTGTCTGAGAAAGATGATATAAAAATGTTGTACATAAAAGTACAAAAATACCTGAATAACTATTAACCAAAAAAAACACGTAGTCACTATGATCGTGAGTCCAGACTGCCAACCAAGAAAAATTAAAAAGTCATATGGTAGGCTTCAAAAACTAAAACAAGTCTCAATTAAAAATCCTGATAGTTCATAGAATCATAGAAAATTAGGGTTGGAAGGGACTTCAGCAGGTCATCTAGTCCAACCCCTTGCTCAAAGCAGGACCATCCCCAAGTAGTTTATCCCAACCAAGGCTTTGTCTGGCCAGATCTTAAAAACTTCAAGGATGGAGCTTCCACCACCTCTCTGTGTAACCTGTTCCAATGTTTTACTACTCTAATAGTGAGAAAGTTTTTCCTAATATCTAACCTAAACTTCCCTTGCTGCAAGTTCAGACCACTGCTCCTTGTTCTGTCATCTGCCACCAGTGAGAACAGTCTAGCTCCATCCCCTTTGGAACCCACTTCAGGTAGTTGAAGGCCACTATTAAATCCCCTCTCAGCCTTCTCTTCTCCAGGCTAAATATGCCCAGTTCCATCAGCCTCTCCTCAGAAGTCATGCCTCCCCAGCCCTCAAACCATTTTCCTTGCCCTCCGCTGGACTCTCTCCAATTTGTCCACATCCTTTCTGTAGTGGGGGACTCAAAACTGGACACAGTACTCCTGATGTGGCCTCACCAGTGCTAAATAGGGGGAAATAATCACGTGCCTTGATCTGCTGGCAACATTTCTACCAATGCAGCCCAGTATGCTGTTAGCCTTTTTGGCAAAAAGGGCAGACTGTTGGCTCATATTCAGCTTATTGTCCTTGGTAACCCCCAGGTCTTTTTCTGCAGAGCTGCTATATAGCCAGTCAGTCCCTAGCCTGTACTAGTGTATGTAGTTAAACATGTATTGAGCTCTCTCTCCTAATCACCTCTCTCTGGGAGCAGGGATATCATACAATTATAATGTTGCCAACTTTTGTTATTTTTGTCACCTTCTGAATCTACTGGATTTGGAACTGGACACCCTGCCTGTGCCACTGCAAAGACCGACAGCAGCAGTTCCCAAACTCTGACAGATTGTGCACCACCAATTTAAAATGACACAACCTTAAGTACCACCAACAAGTTTTTGTCACATAACGTAATTATAATAAATCTGTTAACATTTACCACTGACAGGTTGTCTGGGATAACCACACAATAATTGGGTGTCTCAGGTACACTGTTTTGAAGAACCTAGCCCATAGCCAGTGACTCTCATGTAGCACTTGCTTAGGCTATTTTATGCCATTTTAGTTAGTTACTCCTAAAAATCCAAACTGTTTGGAGGGGAAAAAAAAGTTGCGTTAACTGGTTGACCTAGGGGGCAGGGGAAATTAAGACTTGCAAATGGGTAGAAGGTTACTCCACAAGAACCAGCTTTCCATGAATGCTACAACTTAGCTCTTAAAATATATATTTTATACATATGTGTGTGTGATCTTAAAATATGTATTTTATACATATGTGTGTGTGATTTTTCAGCCGCATACTCAGAAGGTTAAGTATCACTGAGCACCGATACACATACCAAACATCTGCTCTGATGCATGCTGATTAGCATACATCAGAGCAGACTTGGTTACTTGAGAAGTACTGTTGCCACCATTTTAAAGTGCAGAACACTGAACACACATGACACTAATTGGAGTGATTCTTGGAGCTGCTCTAATTAAAGTGCCCCCTCCCTGAGCATGTGTATAGATGTCCTATGATTCCAGTTTTGCAGCTAGGAAAAGCAGCTGAAGTAACTTGCCTGAGATCTCACATTTGGCCAGTGGTTAAGCCAGGATTTAAAGCCAGGTCTCTTCACTACCAGGCTGATTTTCTACCCACTGGATGGTATCTGCCTCCATTTTAATATAAAGAAGGTAGAAAAGAAAACATTCCCAGCAAGACTATAAGTTGTCATGAGCTAGCCAACCAGAACAAGACAGAATCATGGATTTCTGAAATCTGTGAAGACACCTGAGCAGCATCCCAAAGTAATTATCCTGAATTGATTGCTGTTGCTTTAACTGATAGTCTCCACTGTGGAGAAAGACAGACATGTCCACTTGCCTTACAGGTAAAGCATGAGGGGAATGATGGGTTAAAAGGAGAGTAATCAAAGAGTACACTTGCCTTGCCTAAAGGAAACAGCACTTGGAGTTTGCTATACACACAGATTAACAAAATTTTTTTTTTCTATTTATGTGCCAGATGTGGCACCTAAGCAAGCTGTCAAATATATGGCCCAAAGCCTAGATCCAGCTCATGGTACTGCTCCATCTAGACCTCTGGGCTACCAATGGGCCAGGAAACATGTGGGCATGGCTAAAAATAGCTTGGCCTGCTGCAGTGAGTATGACCATTAGCAATGGGAGAGACTAGTAAGGGCTATGTGATACAGCCCTCAGTTGCTCTGCTGTTACCTGATCCACCACCATTTACATGCCTATGACACACCTATCACCCATCCGGCCCACAGTGCTTTGCCCTGCTGCTGCGGCAGCAACTGCAGCTGTTGTGCCAAGCCGGATCTGGCTCAGGACATAAGGCGAGTTTTGATGCCCCTGCTATACAGAATGCTGCAATGTTCTGAATTCCAAATTTGCAGCTGAGTTTTCAACCACCTCCACAGGCCCAATGATGCACCTTCTTGGGTCAAACCTCTAGTGCAGACACTGTCTACCTGGGTTATCTCACCCTTGTTTAAAACTAGGAGGAGGCTTCCTGGTGAAAAGTACAGCGTATGAGGGGCAAGCTGCATTTCCAGGAGTCTGGAATGGTCTGTATACATCCAGTTAGCTACACTGGTGCCAAAACCTCAGTCTGTGTAAGGCCTATGCAAGAAGCTTGACTCCTCTCAAAGAGTAGCTGTCTAAGCCAGCTGGACTGTCCTGTAGCAGTTCATCCCTGGCCCTCCCTGAAACTTTTTGAGACTTGGAGAAGCTACGGTAAATGTGATGAGCCTTCTCTGCATTCTCCTTTTCCTCACTTGCACCTAGAACCAAAATGCTGAAATAATAAGCAGCAAATAATGGAGGACCTGTGGCTCTTCTGTGATGTCCCCAAGGTATTTAGATTGTTACCAGTGTCCCTGCCCGGTACTGGTGTCAAGTGACATTAAAAAAAAAAAAAAAAGGTAATGAAAACTGAACCTCCATGAGCCAAATTCCACACCCCCCTCCCTCCCTTGTGAATAAACTGGCATAAATCAGAGGGATGGATCTGCTTGGTGTCAGAGGTCATTTTTACAAGTCCGGGAGGTGTGCAGGAGCGCTTTAATTAGTGAGTGCTTTTAATTAAAGGTGCCCAAACATCACAGGTATCAGCATCCCCTGTGCTGAGAAATGGTGGTGAGCCATTTGGAACTAAAGCTCATCGAATGAGCTTTAATTCAAAGCACTCCACCGCCATTTTTCAGCGTGGGGGTGCTAATACACGTGATACCAGAGTCTTCTGGAGCATGTTTATTTCCATGCTCCAGCAGACTAATCGAGTCTGCTCCAACACGCTGGATTTCTAGCATGTCAGAGTCAGCTCCCTGCATGTGTATAGCAGCCCAGAGAGAGCTTGTCAGTGCACTAAGGTGCCTCTAAACTTTTATTTAAAACCATAGCTTCAGATTAACAGACTCTTTCTCGGATGGGATGTTAGTTGAGGAGGAAAAGCATTGCCTGTCAGTGAGTGAGTATGGTATTAGCTTTGTTGCCAGAGAAACTGGAAGGATCATAGGAACATACGGGTGGAAGGGCCCTCATAGGGTCATCTAGTCCAGCCCCCTGCTCAGGGCAGGATTGGGTGAGATTGGGAGGAATTGCACCTTTCTGCAGATGGCTTCTCCTGTCAAACCCTGTCTTTCCTTCTTCCCTTGGACACCTAGCTTGCTCCTGCAGACACTCCATTAACACAGGCTGTGTTAAACATTAGCCTGCTGATTAGTAAAGCTGCTTTGCATTCCCTTTGTTCTTGCTTTGGCCAGATGTGAACTGTCATTGTACAAGAATTAAGACAGAGGGGAGTTGGGTTCTCTAGGTATTAGTTTGCTCAGAGTCGTTTACTGGGCTATCACCAAGGAGGAGTACTCCTCCTCAGCCTGTGAGTGTAAGAAGGCTGTTAGGAAGGCCAAGGCAGAGATGGAACTCAGGCTAGCGTCTAGGATTAAGGACAACAAAAAGCCCTTTTTCAAGTACAGTGGGAGCAAGAAAAAGGCACCAGGCAATGTAGGGCCCCTGCAAGACTCAAATGGTAACCTTGTGGCTACGCCAGACGAGAAAGCCGTTATTTTTAACAGTTTCTTTGCCTCTGTTTTCTTGAACAGGGGCCGGTTCATCCCTCCTGCCAGAGGTAGGGACAATCTTGGGGATAGCTCTGACAGGCCTTGGGTCAGCGCAGAGGTAGTTAGGGATCTTCTGGAAGGGCTAGACATTTTTAAATCTGCAGGTCCAGATGACCTGCACCCAAGGGTGTTGAGGGAGTTGGCAGGGGTCATCGCAGAGCCCTTGGCCCAGCTGTATGAGCATTCGTGGTAATCTGGCCAGGTGTCGGGGGATTGGAAACTGGCTAATGTGGTCCCAATTTTCAAGAAAGGGAGGAGGGAGGACCCAGGTAATCATAGGCCTGTAGGCCTCACCTCGGTGGTCAGGAAGATCTTGGAGAATCATCAAGGAGCACACCGGTGGGGGGCCAGCAGGGAGGAATCATGCTCAGGGGCAATCAGCATGGGTTCATCAAAGGCAGGTCCTGCCTGACCAACTTGGTTGCCTTTTATGACCAAGTGATTAAATCCTTGAGTGATGGTGTCACCATAGACGTAGTCTTTCTAGACTTTAAGAAGGCCTTTGACACTGTCTCTCACCCCATCCTCACCAATAAATTAAGTGACTATGGCATTGATGCCTACACAGTTGGATGGGTAAAAAATTGGCTGATGGGGTGCACCCAGACAGTAGTGATGGACAGGTTGTACTCAACCTGGCGAGAAGTGAGCAGTGGGGTACCCCAGGGCTCGGTCCTCGGGCCCGCACTGTTTAACATCTTCATCAGCGACTTGGACGAGGGGGTGGAAAGCACGCTGTCCAAGTTTGCTGATGACACTAAGATGTGGGGCAAGGTGGACACAC